TTTTAAAATGATATAATTTTTTTTTGTTTTAGTATTTTGAAGTTGACCAATTGTTACTATAAGCAATTAATGATTATCTGCACCATATGAAAAAGAAAATGAGACAAATTTTTTTTTTTAGATTAATAGACTCCCTTTTTAAAGCCAAATTGAATGGTAGCGAGTTTTTAAAAATCCAATGTGTTGATCACATAATATTTCAAAAAATTTAACTTATGAGTATAGATGATCCGCACTGTAGCAATTATCACTCAATTAACATTAACAATAAACGTGATAAAGATGAAAAGACATACCTTTATGAGTCTAACGAGAGGATTAAAACCAAATAATCATCATCAACGTCTAACATTAACGATAAACGTGATAGAGATGAAAAGACAAACCTTTATGAGTCTAACGAGAGGATTAAAACCAAATCAAGTTTTTTTTTAAAAAATTAAGTTTAATATTAATAATTATGCATTAAAATCTATAATGGTCCTGGAAGTTATATATACCTGTACGTGTAATTTCACATATACCAAGAGTATGTAACAAAAAAGTTTTTTTAAGAATCATTCAAAATTTTAAAGTACTTTTTTGGTTTTTATAATAGATTAATTCATCTGATCTTTAATAACAATAAAAGACAAATAAAGCTCATCTATTATATTTTATTCGCTTTCTTTGAATAAAAAATTATTATTAATATTTGTTGATAGATTTCTTGTTCAATGTTCATATTTAGTAAATAAATATCCTCAAGCTGATATAAGGAATATGAAAATACCATTTACAGATGAAAGAAAAATCAATTTTCAATTTATAACGATGAAAGGTATATTGAAAAAGTAAACAATTAAAAAATAAAATAAAATAATTCATTTAAAAAAGCAAATTGTTCTTTATAAACCAACCTTTCCATTCTTAATACTTTAACCAGTATGATTAAATGTTCCCATAGACGCTCGTGCTTTCCTTGATTCTTTAACATCATCAGAAATAATGTTGTCAATATCCATTGATTTCAATTCTGCTTCTAGATCACGATGATTTTTTACTATCTTACATTTTTCGTTTGTTGGTCGTCCTTTAAAAAAATATATATACATATATATATCTTAGTGTATGGGATAGGCTTATTTTTTTAAAAAAATTTAAATAACTCACCCTCCACCCCTAATTCCACGAGAATTTTTTTTAATTTCTTAATTTGACTTTTTGTATCATCACATCCTGCCAATTCTTTGGACCTGAAGATTATATTGAATTAATATTATATATTTATATTGAGGTTTTTAATTGGTTAAGAAGAAGTATTAAATAACTTTACCAGATTTTACGAACTCCACATTTTACAATAAAGGATTTCAAATTTTTAATTGTTATTTCTTCTTTATTGTTGTTTGACTAAGAAAAAAAAAAGTAAATTTCATATATTAATTATATTATAATCTTTATTGTTAATTATTTTACTCACTGATTTGTCATTATTTTTTCGAGGCTTTTTTTTCGTTGATGGTTTAGGATTGTCTTCAAGTTTATCACCATCATTCTTTTTCTTTGGAGTAGATGATTTAGTTTGTCCAGATCTTTTCTTTTTTAATGGTATAGGATCATCTTCGACTTCACTAAGTTCATCGCTATCGTCATTCTTTTTATTTGGAATAGATGATTCAGTTTGTCCAGATCCTTCCTTTATTGATGATTTAGGGTTGTCTTCAAATTCACCAAGTTCGTCACTATCAATAATATCTTCTTCATTTTTTTTCTTTGGAGTAGATGATTTAGTTTGTCCAGATCTTTTCTTTTTTAATGGTATAGGATCGTCTTCGACTTCACTAAGTTCATCACTATCGTCATTCTTTTTATTCGGAGTAGATGATTCAGTTTGTCCAGATCCTTCCATCATTGATGATTTAGGGTCGTCTTCAAATTCGCCGAGCTCATCACTATCAATAATATCTTCGTCATTTTTTTTCTTTGGAGTAAATGATTTAGTTTGTCCAGATCTTTTCTTTTTTAATGGTAAAGGATCGTCTTCGACTTCACTAAGTTCATCACTATTAATGATATCTTCATCATTCTTTTTCTTAGTAGGAGATGATTTAGTTTGTTTAGGTCTTTTTTTTGATGATGGTTTAGTGTTGTCTTCAAGTTCACCACCATCAATAATATCTTTGTCATGCTTTTTCTTTGGGGTAGATGATTTGGTTTGTCTGGATCTTTTTTTTGCTGGTGGTTTAGAGTCATCTTCAAGTTCACCAAGTTCATCACTATTAATGATATCTTCTTCATTCTTTTTTTTAGTAGGAGATGATTTAATTTGTTTAGGTCTCTTTTTTGTTGATGGTTTAAGATCGTCTTCAAGTTCACCACCATCAATAATATCTTCGTCATTCTTTTTCTTCGGAGTAGATGATTTAGTTTGTCTGGATCTTTTTTTTGCTGGCGGTTTAGAGTCATCTTCAAGTTCACCAAGTTCATCACTATCAATAATATCCTCATCGTTCTTTTTTTTTGCAGATGATTTAGTTTGTTTAGGTCTCTTTTTTGTACCAAGTTCATCACTATCAACTTTATTTTTATTTGGAGTAGATGATTTGGTTTGTCTAGATCTTTTTTTCGCTGGTAGTTTAGAGTCATCTTCAAGTTCGCCGTTATCATCTTTCTTTTTATTTAAAGTGGATGATTTAGGTTGTCTAGATCTTTTCTTTTTTAATGGTTCGAGTTCGAGTTCACTAAGATCATCTTCCATTTTATTTGGAGCAGATGATTGGGTTGGTAGTTTAGGCTCGTGTTCAAGTTCACTAATCTCATCATCATCAACTTCTTCATCTTCCTTTTTCTCTGTAAGAAATGATTCTTCTGGATCAATATTTTCATCCCTATTCTTTTGATCAGATATTTTCGATTCACTAATTTCTGTTTCTTTGCAATTATAAAATATTTTACCATAAATACATTTTTACTTTTTGAGAATTTTATTATAATTTGGTTTATACAATAAAGATTGCTTTTCATTTGGAAAAAAAAATTATTTATTTTAATACCTTCAACGGTAAAGTTTGGCTCCTTCTCCTCTTGTTCTGAATCAGAACACACGAGTTGTAATTTTTTCCTTTTAGGTATTATTATTACCTTTTCTCTTTCTTCTTTTTCTACCGACGCTTCACTCTCCTCATTCTCATAATGTTTTTCCATTTCAACGTTGTTATCGATGCTATTTGTAGAATTTTACAGGATTTTTTTTTAGGAAATTTTGAAATGTTACATTAATTTTTTATATTGTGCAACGTAACTTTACAATACACGGCAAACATTCTGGCAATAAAAAGTAAAGTGATAAACTGGATTTGAATTGGATCTGAACTTTGATCTCTAATTTAGAGAGGCAACAACTACATCCTGGTGAAGTTTTAGGAGCAATGGGTTCTGTATAATATTTTGTTTAACAACAAATTTCCAATATGCTGAGGCCAATAAGCCCGTTTATAAACGGATCATGTCTCTCTCTCTTCATAAATGTTCGTGTGCAAAAAAAATGTTTCGTGTGTTACGGGCAGCAGCATTAACATCTCGATTCCAAATGTGTCGGACAGGCTGGCAGACCAGAATTTTTTGATGCTTATCAAACCACCAATCACACAAAGAACAAATCGAGAAAGTACGAACGGGACTCGTCAACATTCACCGCCACCTTGCAGTGCCCAGAAAGCTCTCGGCGAAATTTTTTTACAGGGCCCTACGTAATAAATTTCTGAAAAAAAAAACGTTGGATATCCATCTTGTTATTTAAAAGTATTGGTGAATATGTGTGTATTGACAATGTTATACATTATTGGTAAAGGGAGTCGAAATTGGAAAGCCATTTTAAGAGTAACATGTGAAGCAAGCGATAAATTTAAAATACAGTTTTGAATACAAATAAATTTGTGTAGTTGTGTGATTTTTTTATTTTCTTTATCATGACATTAGAAAATATTATTCCTACGCCGAACTAAGATGCTGATTCGAGAAAGAAACCAATAAATAATCTGATAAAAAGTGTTAGTTCACAGTAATACAAATCACAACATTTAAAATTCTTAATAAATTAATTATAAAGATCGACTATAATAGCCATCACAATACTTGTATAAAGTTCCTATTTAGGGAAAAAACCCGTAAAATTTAGTTTTAGCAAAAATCCAATAGTGAATATATTATGTCTTTGTAATAACCTACACCTCTCTCTCGTTCTTGTTGCTCTCCCCTCTTCCCTCTTTTTCTCAAGTAATCCTAATAAAGTGCTTTTCTGCTCCTTGGTCATTTTATCACACAATGTTCTTTCCTCTTGGGCTAAAGAAGCCAATATTTTTTGTTCTTTTAATTCACGTTTTTTTTTTACTTGGGCCAAATCATTTTGTTGAGCTAATTCACTTTCATTTTGTCGAGCTGATTTATTTCGTTGAGCTGAAGCTGATGTGCTTTTGTTCAGTTGAAATACTTGTTGAAGTAACTCATTTTGCGAGTTGCCTAATTCTAAATCTTGAATCAAAGTACTTGTTGTTAGTAGAATTGATTAATTGATTAGATAGATGCATTTCACTATACAACCCTAACTTTCAACATGTCTTTTTAAAAAGTTGTTATCTATTGCACTGATACTAATACTAATACTAATATTGAGTACTTGATCATATTAACGCAATGACAAAAATGTGTCCCCGCGGTGTGATTGAGTTTCCTTATTTGGATTTAAATTTAATTCTCTATTATTACATTTTTACATTTTCTATTAATGGTGAGAGGCAGTCACTTTTTTTTTAAAGTACTTTCGGATCATAGTCTTGGCGTCCACATTCAATAGAGTTTTCCAACCCCTGTTCTAGAAAGAAGGGAACACCAAAAAAAGAAAAAGATTGAGGGTGTTGTATGTCGAGTTTTACATTTCATAGACATGTTTTTTTACAATTCTAGCCAAAAAAAAAAAAAAAAACATTGAACCTTGACTATTGATTGCTCTTTAATCTCTTGTACCTATTCCCCGACTAGATCATACTTTTTTTCTTGTTTTCAATTTATCTTTAACAGACCTTTTCTAATCCTTAGGTTTCTGTATAGCAAATAACGATGAAATCTATTTTGAATTTGATTCATATTTGAGAATTTATGAAATCTATCGACTGACTGGTCAGACGCTGCTTTATTGATCCTTTGCAGAAAGAATTCAATAAATTCACAAAAATACCGTGCGAGTAAAAGTTTTGCGGGATGGATAAAGGAAGCATTAACTTTCATCGCATTTATTCCAAAGTGTTGGAGGAGCTGAAGGTAAATTGAATAAATGGCAGATTACAATCAAAATGGTTAAAATTAGAAACATAAAAGGAGTCGGATTATTTAAGATTCAGAAGATCTTTATAAATTTCAGTGACTGTGTTTTCATCTTTGTGTTCTCTAGCTATAACAAAAATGCCCGGAAGGGTATAGAAGAATTCAAATACAAAATCTTAATATTATAAAGGGACGATACGAAGAAATACATATCAGCGGATTCCAACACTTTCCCAAATTTATACTTGAAAAAAATATAGAAGATTGGTCATTGCAACCTTTTTCAAAGAAAAGTTTAGCGGGTTATATAATAAGCAAAAGTTTCATGTCTTTTATAGTATTTAAAATAAATAATATTAAATACCATATAGATATGGTTTATTATAATAAATTTTTCTTTTATGTTTATTCCTAATAATGATTAAATAATGATGCCAGGAAAAGGAGAAATAAGAATAAATACAAGTAATTTTTTGTATATGTTTTATATAAATAAATTAAAAAAGAATAAAACAATCAATAATAATCAAAAATAGATATGATAATTATAAAAATCGTTACTTTTAATAATTTTGCTTTTTATTTCAATTTAGTTTATGAATAATAAAAACAATAATATAATATTAACAATTATTAGTAAAAATATAATTAAAATATACGCATAATATAAAGTGTTTATATAAAAAAGACAATTGTTAATGCTGCTGTTAGAGATTCTGTCAACGAACAATTCTACATCTGGACCAACATTAAATTTATCTGTCAGGATAATATTGTGACCAGATGCTTTGGCTTCTTTTTTTGCTTCAAAAGTAAAATTATTTTTAGACGGTGCTATTATAACACCAATAGTAGAAAGTCGATTATATTTAGCTAGAACATTTTCCCAATCACGTACATCATCCGCCCCTTATAATAAAAAATTTAATTATAACAACAAAGATGAAAAAAATATAGTAAAAATAATTTATAATAATTTACCAATGCTTGCTTTGTTTTTGCATTGTATTAAAACAGTGTTTCTCCTGATCCCTCCGATAAAATCTATAGCACCACCGCTATAAATTGTAAAATAATAATAATAATAATAAATAGTGAGCACTTGTGTCATCATTGTCAAGAAACGCTATCCCGGAACCTAGCCAACAATCAATAGCATTCACAACAGGCCATCCACCGTATATTGTAATTGGACTTGGTTATCCAACTGGTAACTTTCACAAGCTGTGGCCACGAAGTGCTTCCAGTTCTCCATTTTTAATCCTAGTGGCAGCGTAACTTCAGATACATTACAATTCAACAAAGGAAAATACTCACATTAATTCATAACGATCAATGCCCGTTTTATTCAACGCATCATCAATTTCTAATTTAAAAGTGTTTTCATTAGCATTGGACATTATTAATATTTCAACAATTTAATTTTTAAGATTTGATGAGAAAAAGGTTGGGTTGCAGATCGTTCTAATTTATCATGCAAGTACAGCAGGTGCTTTACCAAGTTTGGAAAAACCGATAATTGAATATCATCCTCCTTTTTTTAATGGATTAGAATTTTCAAAAATACCAAATCGCGTTACAAGTACAAGGAAGCCAACACCGGTTTCATAATACTAGCTGGTATAAAGATATCAAAATATAGTTAATCGTGATTGTCTAAAAAGATGCATTTGTCAAGATAATGGAATTTCCCTACTTGAAGTATGGTGGTTATTCTGGAAAGAATACAAAAATTAAGAATTTCGTTAATCAAACATTTAAAATTTTCAACCTATAATATCCTCTTGCGTAGTGAGAATTCTTTGCATCTAAACAGTTTTCGGTTTGCTGGTAACGACGCATAATTATTTCAGATAAATGCGGAATGCTAACCTAATTAATTTTTCTATCCGGCAAATTTGCCAATAATAAATTATTTCTTATGATTCAAGTCTCACAGGTAATCACGTGTGATTATAATTTAAAAGTCATAAAAGTTCATTTTTTTATTTTGTAAAGTATGGCTCATTGGATAGCAAACAAAATTCGAGGTAACTTGCCCCATAGACACCCTAAACTGCCAGATTTTCATTTAGAAGATGAATGGTAAGTGTGACTTACGCATGTTTCTTTAAGAGCTATTCATTGTTAACTTGTACTGTATTCAGCTTGCCATTTCAGATCGGGAAGAGCATTTCGGGTTAAAGAGTATAACGATTTTCTTGATAGTAACGAATCGTCAGGATGTAAATCTTACTTTGATAAAAAAAGCGTCTATATTATTGAAATGGCGTACGCATTACATGAAGATGTTATATTATTTCTTTAAGATTGCTTTAAAGAATCGAATAATAGAGTTAAATTTGGGCCGATAATAGTTTTTGGTCAACCTTGTAAGAGATTTTCATTTAATTTTATTTTTCTGGGGTTTGTAATAAAAATACAAATTTTTTCCAATAGACCATTACAATCCGATCGGAATTGGAGAAAAAATAGCCCCAGACATTGTAGTTAGTCCGAGGGAAAGTCTTGTACAACGAGAAAATCCATATCCTGGTTTTCCCCGTGGTGACTGCAAAGTACTTTAATATTTCATTATAATAATACTTATTTTTAAGACAATTTCTAATAATACTAAAATTTACACAGGGAAATTCGTATGCAAGAGTAATTTGCGAAGTTGCTAATAATCAAAAAATTGGCTTATGGAACATAAGATGTGAAACGTGGATGCAGGAGGAACACGTCCGCTGTGTATTTGGAGTTAAACTTTATCCTAAAATAAATAAAAGAATTGTTCATCAGCCAATAGTAGTATGTACCATACGTTTAACATCTATTCATTATTCGATTAGTTTCAAATTTATGATTTTTTTTTCTATATTAGGCAAGATTGTGGGCACGTCGAGCACTACCAGATGGTGTATTATCCTCAAATGCAACCTTAGCAGGAAATGGAATATATGTCAAAGAGGTAATAATATTAATTTAGTGTTGTATTTTTATAATCAGACATCTGAATTAAAATAATTTTTGCAAAGGATAGTGGGAATGCGGAACAATATATCATTATATACATACACCAATTAGTTGTAATGCTCCGAATATTAATGCATTTCAAGTAAATATTCGTCTTTTGGGATCCCCCAATTTTGGGCAAAGCTCCAAATGTTGAAGACTATACTGCAGTGTTACCCGATAGTGTTGTTGGCGAAAATTTTGTTATTGACTTATATCACATACAACAAATAGCTTAATGTAAATTAAGGTAAATTCATTATGATTTGATGTATTAAGGGAATAAATTATTTTTACTATATAGTTAATCTAAATTTTAATTGCTTTTAAAGAAAACGATGGATCTGTAGCAATTTCGATTCGGTTAAAAACAACTTGCAAAGATTTATTATATCATTTTATTAATATATTTTTTTCTTCATTCATCAATTGCAAATAAAATATATTTTCTGGATTATTTTACATTACATTGATCGACAAGCATTATTAGATCTATAATACTAACAAGTTTAGACCTTTTTTGCAAAACAATACAATATGTTTGAAATCAAATGCCAGTAAAACTTGCAGTATAACTATTAAAAGCAATATGAAAAGTACTCAATATCGAATGCGGTTGAGGGTGTGCATGTGTCACATTCATCACATTCAATAATCCGGTTAATCCTGGTGACTGAAGTGCAGACGTTTGGAATGCCTGGTTGATTCATTGCCCTTTAGCAAATAAAAAGGAAGGATTGAGCTAAGTTGGTGCTAAAGAATATGAAAATCATGAAATCAGCCTTCATTCATACCATGGTATGCTCATATTTATCTGACCAACCCATGCTCCAATGGCAGTGCCATTTTGGAATATAAATACAACATTATTATGGTTTCTTGCACCATTTGCCATAAGATTTGTGATAATTTCACCCTTGTTTTGGCCTGCAATGCCATTTCGAGAACTCGGAGAAGTGGGAACATCGTTGAAATCTGCCTGATTCCATTCAATATGAGGGCGGGCATATTTTTGTCTTTTTTTAGAGCTTTGAGGACCAAGGTAGCTGTTTTACGATTTTGAAGGACAAGGGGGAGATTTTCAGGTGCTAAACACAAGAATATCAATCAATATATATGAACATAAACATGCATGGAAATAATTTAACTGCTAATTTTTACATACTTGTCTCGCTTTTTTTTGCAAGTTTTTTAATGTCTTTTTCTCAAATATAATGATGTTGATCCATTAAAATCACATGCACGTGAACAATTGTTCACGCCGATCACTTTTGCAAGAAAAAATTTGAACATCTTTGATCACTATACATAAGATATGTCTTGCAAATCTAGAAATAACAGATGAATAACTCAAAGTAGATTTACTACAAATCCTGCGCAATATTTACAATTTCAAAACTGGGATAAATATGATCATATTATTCATGAAGGCCATATAACTGTCATAAATAAGAAGACACAAGATGTGAATGAGGTATTTGATTATGAAGAGGTATGTAGATATCTAGAGATAAATAATATTGGTTTGGGCATTTCTCAATATGTATAGGAATTAATTGGCTTATTTTTTTTTTGACACTTTATGAATATATCAATGAAAATCTCAACCACCTGGGTCAATTTATTGATATAGAAAAAAATAAATTTACATAATAAAAATATACAGTGTGGGACAAAAAAAACTGGAATTTTTTGGTACGATTTCAGAAAAAGGATTTTTTTTGTTCTATCTAGCATAAAATTGTCACTATGTTCTATACAAGGATCATTCCTGAATTGATTACAAATATTAAGAAACTGTTTTGATTTAAATAGGATCTTTGAAAGTCTATAATTTTAAGTTCGAAATTTACCAACAAAAATTTCAACTTAAAAACGTTCTGTTAGTTACATGATTATTCAACAATGTTTATGTATTGAAGCGTCAAAAGTTTTGGTGATTTTGTTAAATGAGACATAAAGTAATGAATTCTAAAAAATTTTGAAAACTGGAATGATTTTTGGTAAATTAGTGAAAAATAGGTTCACAGATTTTTGTAATTGGATTTTTAATGAAACAAAAATTAACTTTATTATTTAATTTTGAAAACAATTAGAAACAATTTTTTAATATAATTTATATCAATAGGAACCTCAGATTTTCAGCTTCCTTTTGGTATGTTTTTTATCTGTTTTTATTTAACCATAATTGAGAAATATATAAATAAAGATTTCCGGTTTTTTTTGTCCCACACTGTATAACATTTTTCAATATTACCTTGATATTTATTTATGTGGTGGTGATGAAACAGTTGGACTTGGATGAAAGTTTCGAGGCGGATGTGTAATAGTCTGATCTAATGCTTGAACTACTAGACTTTCATTTACAATCATAATGTTCTAAGTAATATATTCAGTTTTTGTCAGCTAAATTTTATGAAATAAAGTATCATCTAGGCCATCAGGAAAATGGGTACAAATATTATGCATATATAATACGCAATTGCAGGGATTAAGCATATAATATATGTACAATTTGCATACATAAAAAAATATGTGATTTGTACGCATATTATATGCTTAATCCCTGCAATTGTGTATTATATACACATAATATTTGTACCCATTTTCCTGATGCTTGGGGATATAATTATCTACATAGAACCTAGGGACCCTTTTATCCAGGAAGATAAAAGTCATTTTTATTTAACTTGACTGTAAGTCAGCAGGTAGGCTGTGTGTTGAGCATTAAATAACCTATTAATTAGGAAACTTGGATTGCATGCTTGCAATATGTTATTTTTATTACTTATTTATTTATCTATTCTATCTACCTCAGATGTGTAAAATGTATGATTATAAAAGTGCAAGTGACTATCTTTATGAATTAAAATGCAAAGAAACCAATAATGACAAAATGATAAAACAAATTGCAATGATTTATTTTTACATGTAAGTTATATTTATTTATTTTAGAAAAAAAAGTTTTTTTCTTTATTAATACTATTTAATTTTTGCTAGCATTGATAAATTTTTAGAAGATCCATTTGATGAAAATGGAAAGAGTAGAGATCTGTCTAAAATGGATCATGCAATAATTATGACAGCACCAATAATTAGAATTTTGTTTAATGACGTTTTAGATGATCTGGAGCTCTGTTGGTAAAAAAACCATCATTGTTGTATATTTATATGATATGTGTCATATAGGGGTGAAACTATATCCACAGCAACTGGAGATAACTGACATAAAACTGATTTGAGAATTGTACATAGAAAGGATGGCACAGAACTCAGTCATACAGAATGTGCCAAATCATCTACTCCAGGAAAAGCTATTCGTGATAGGTCAAAATGTTTGCAAACTTTAAAATGTGTTTTTGACAAATATTTAAAAAAAGATTTATCAGAAAGTGATGTTAAAGACTCAAAAATGATAGTGTTACCAGAATTGGATTTGAAGGCTCTTTTGGCCAAAATCAACTAATTCCGCAATTCTTAATTTTTATTACATATTATTTTATTTTAGTATTATTTTATCCGTAATACGTTTGTAACAATCTTTAATCTTGATTGATCGGTAAAATAATTCTAGTCGAAATTAGGCAATTAATCCATACCATATTTGG